TCTATAAGTTAGCTTATCAGCTATCAGCTAACTTATCCGCTAATTTTATCAAAGACAAGTGCGTCTCTCGAGTATATATATGCCTTTACCTTTTCCTTTACCAATTGGAATCCTATTTCCATCAGATTATTAAGAATGTTACTATTTACCGCCTATTTTTTTTACTAAATACGGTATCCTAAAAAACAATTTTGCCTTTTTACTTTAAAAAAAATAAAAATTTGTTTTTTAATATTTTTTTAACATTAAAAAATAAAAAAAAAATAATTATAAAAATTCAAAAAAAAAATTATAACACTTACAAAATAAGGCAAACTTCATTTACAAAAACATAAAAACCAAATTGGCCAATCAAAAAAAATTGTAAAAAAAAAACACAAAACTCAATAAAATTTCAAAATAAATTCGAAAAAAACCAAAAAAATGGCAGGACAATCCTCACGTACTGGGAAAGGGCTCTCCAATTCACAAGTAATTTTTTTTTTTTTACAATTTAAACGATTTAAAAAAAAAATATGTCGGTTGGCCGGCGATTGCGGCGCTTTATGGTTGGTACGGGCGCCGATTGCGGCCACAACTGGTGTGGCCGCTATTTTTAAGTGCGGTCGTCCCGTCCGCGGCCACTAATGGCTGCCGTTATCTTAATTGGGGGCCGCGCGCAGCCGTTATCGGTAGGCCGATCCAATTGCGGCCGCGTGCGCCGACCTTTTTTTGTTTTTCTGTTTTTTTTAATTAAAAAAGTTTAAATTAAAATATATAATTATTAATATATATATTATAAAACTAATTAAAAAATTTAATAATAAATTTATATTAATATTTTGTAATAGTAATTAAATATTAATATTTAATAAAAAAAATTAATAAAAAAATTAAATATTAATATTTAATAAATTAAATTTACATACTACTATAATTTATAATAATATATATTAAAAATTATTAGTATAATTATGATACTAATTACTATAGAATTATTTATACTACTATATTAGTATATAAAAAATTATATTAGTATTTAGGATAATTATTAGTACTAATAATTGTAATAATTATCCTAACGACTATATTAGTATATATTAGTATATAAAAACTTGTATTAGTATTTAGGATAATTATTATGAAATAATAGTATAATATTAAATTATTTATAATAGAAAAATTATATTAGTATAAATTATTAAGTTATATATTAGAATGCATTATCTTATAAAATTAAATTTATTGATATTATGTTATAAGTTATAAATTTATTAGTATTATGTCAGATTGGTTAAAAAATTACAAATTACTATTATTATGTTAAAAGTTAAAATTGGTTAGTTTGTAATATGTTAGAAGTTAAAATTTATTTTTTTTTTTGTAAAATTATCAACATATATGGTAATATATTGCAGGGGTCAGTCGAAGATTTTGGAGGAGACGGTCTTGATTACGGATGTTGTTTCACTACAACTGACCTATTTGATAGTTGTGATGAAGTTGTTGAATGGGCAAAAAAAATTGCTTTGATATGGGGTTTCGAATTGGTCATCTCAAAACATTTAGAAAAAGGAGGAAAAAAGTTGAGGTGTCATCGAGGGGAACGTTACAGAGGCATTGCTGGAAAAGTAGGAGATATCGTTAATGTTGTTTTGAGACGTTCGAAAACAAAAGCGACCGCCTGCCCTTTTATGATAAATGTCAAATTTGAAGCACAATCCCAATAATTCCGTATCTCGGTTTCTTTAGATGAC